CCTCTTCCAAATTCACATGGCTCTTTTTCTTTGTTAATACCAGTACAATGACCATTTTTGTTTGCTTTTTTGTGTCTTTTTTGTTTGTTTTTAAGAATCCAGGTATGTGGCACTCACATTTCCACCTCCTGTCTTCACCCAGAAGCTGCAGAAATTTATGTGAAAACCACGAAACGTTTTCCCGTCTCAAGCTGTAGGATTCAGGGACGTAAGACAAATATCTGACGCCCTGACACTTATTGAAATAACCATGCACCAGCCATCCTGAGACCGAAATTACAGAGAGATGCCCAAAGTACACGACAGGAAAGAAATTAATCAAACTTCTAATGACTGCTTGGCCTTAGCTGCCTGTTACTTAAGTGAACACTCCTCAAAGCCCCCAGGATATGGGCAGTACAACTGGCACGCGTAAAGACTACCCTGGCAAGAAAAAGCTGTTGTGTTTTTCATGCAGACAACATAAACAAGCATCTTAAAAGTAATATTGATCTGATCCTCACTTTTCCCCCATCCGTTTCTGGGAGAGGAGAACTCTAGAAAGTCTTTCATGGCAGCATCCTGCGAGGCTGCTCCCCACTGTCCGTGGGGATTGAGAACCGTCTGGTTTCCCCGGCTCACCCGGGTGCAATCTGCGGGCACCAGCAGCCACTTGGTGCCTGCAGACTCTCCCTTCGCCCATCAGCCTTGCGGGACAAGGCAGAAAGAAAACAGCTCCTACAGGTTGAACCCATGTACCCCACATTTCTCCCTCCTCTTTCTATTCTTTGTACATCCCGGTGTACAGTCGCAGTATCTTCTGGGAATAAGGGTCGCGATTAACTAACAAAAGAGCCACTTAGTACTTTGAGATAAAGCGAAGAAAACCCTGCAGTTGTCCCAGGTGCTGCCTCTCACGTTCATCCTCTGGAACTCAGCAATCCAAGGAATAACTTTTCCTTCACATTTCAAAGCGGTGGCAGAGCTTTTCCACCTCATTTTACGAAGGCATATTTTTTGGTGAAGGTTGGGGAGGCACAGGATGCACAGACGACCTCAGGATCAGCAAAAAAAAAAGAGAAAAAAAAAAGAAAAAGAGAAACAATTCTATATTTACACACACTCTTTCTTTCCTGCAGCAACCTCACTTGTTCTGATTAAAACGAGGCAATTAAAGCAAAACAAACAGCCATGTGGGAGCAGAGGTCCTTCAGCTCCGGATCCTGTTTCACATGGCCAATACCATCAGAGTCAGAGGGTGTAAGCCTCCCTCAATGGGGAGATTTCTGCCCCAGCTCATCCTTTCTTCCACTCTCTGTGTCTTGCAGCTCCCGAGCTGGGCGCTGCCTCCATGCACTGCTGCCGTGAGGAGCCATCCTCAGCCCTCCCCGACTCTGTCACCTCCTTGCTTGAAATAATGTCTACTTCTGATCTCTGCAACATTTGCCCCCTCACCAAACAGCGTGCCAGCTGAAAAGGCCCTTCCTTGTGCTCTCAACCTGCTGCCAGAGAAGAGCAGGGCTTAAAGCCACACAGATGCTCTGCTTGACCCAGCCTGAGCGGGGAAACTCACCTTTTCCCAGCTGTCCGGCAGGGTTCCTGCTTCCTTGGGAAGCAGCGGGGTCATGATGCCTGCTGAGACAGAAGTAGTCATGGGGAGACTCAGGCAGCCTGTGCCCCAGCTTTAAATGTGATCTGCCAGCCCCCAGACTGCCATCGCTTTAATACCGAAGAGAAATTAAAGGACAGTCATAACTCCAACATGCAGAACTCAAGCACGTACTGGACCAAAGCGGGGCTTTTTCGCTCCAGCATCACAATTTTTCTTTTAGTGGTCACGCTTTCTCCACATCATTTTAAGAGCCATCACCAGCAAGACTCAAACCAACCAACCAAAAAAAAGCACAGATCAAAAATGCCATCTTTTAAAAAAAAGAGCAACTGGTGAATTAACCCTGCTCAGAGACACAAGCTCCAGGAACCCACAGGCCACTGACAGGTTTCTGCCACCCTCAAAGGGCTCAGGAGCAATAAGAGTTGATTGCCTTTGCTGGGAAGCTCCGGGAATCCCCTCAGCTGAGCTGGGACTTGCATTTTCATCCCAATTTTAGTTGGAGTTAGCGAAAGCCCTGCTACCAAAGGAAGAGTTGGCTGTATCTTAACAGGTGGTTTTGTGACAAGTTGGAACCCGGATTGCAAAGTCCTCCCAGCTAAGCAGCAGAGGTGGGGAGGTTTGCTGTGAATTGTATCAGCTTTTAGGGTAAGGTTTTCAGAGCTCCACGTTGAACTGAAGTCAGTAAGAGTGACAGCTTCACAGCACCACTGAAAACTCAGCTCCATAGCGCGTTGACAGTTCTCCCTCTAAATATCACAAGCAGAGGTTCTCACACGAACACTGGTTTTCTCTTTTTAGTAGGAGAAAGGTTTTCTCCCAAGCCTCTTTTGAACAAAATAGCGGCGAAATATTTCCTTCGATCTCAAATGCCCAAATAAAAACTTCTGTCATTTCTGCCTCAAACTTCTTCCCTTAATTTTTGAATACAAAACCAGCACCAATAATTTAGCTTTTCACTTCAGTTTGGGACAGAAATCAGTGGCAGACCAGCTGATTTCCCCTCCAGGCTGAAAGAACATTTCTAGTATTCTTGAGACATTCCACAATTTCTCCAAACGTTTTTACCTTCTCTCCTTTAGAAACACGGAGAATAACCGAGCCCTGTGTTAGCTTTTCCACTGAACCAGCTCTCATTTTTCACTGAGAAAAGCTCATATCCCTGTTGCACTTCCTAGCTCTGGCACAGTCCTTTTGGGGGATTGTAAAATACTTCACAGAACAGATGCAATAGGTGGGGAAACTGAGGCACAGACACTCTCGGGATGTGCTAAACACATCAGTGAGAGAGCCAAAAAGCCCAGATGACAGCTCTGCCCAACAAACCTGGTAGAATTTATCCCATTCTTTTTTTTTTTTTCTTTTAGTTGCTTACTTTAGAACACTTTCAAAACTTTCTAACTCACCACAACAGCATTAAAACTTCTACAGCATTCAGAGAACTTCTAAATTATTTGAAGCTGTAGTTTGGTCCCCACTTGGCAATGCTAGTTAGAAAACAAGCCCTTGGGTTGTTTTTTTGTTTTGGTGTTTTTTTGTTTTGTTTTTTTTTTTCGTTCTTTACGTGCTCTAAGTGCAAGTTGGGTATTGGAGAAACACAGCTGCTCTTTTCCATACTGACCAAGCTGGCTCCATAAAGCTCAGCAGTAGGCAAGGGGTAATACCAGGACTAATTTGGAGTAAATCCGGAATAAATCCAAATAAAATATGATAAACGAAACTGGATGAGGAAATGGAAGAAAAAGCTGTCTACATAACTTGTTGGTTAATATCTTGGGGACTGTCCTGCAGTTCAGGAGGCTGAACTGGGATGAGCCGCAGTCACTGCCTTCCCCAGTAAAATACATACCTTCAGAGCCAGAAATTGCAATTTACCGGGTTCTTGGAAGGGAAATTTTTTAAAGCCATGCTCCAGCAGTGGTCGGTCCGGCTCTCGGGGAGACAGGAGCCGCTCCGGCAGCCGCGCACCCCTCGCTCGCTCCCTTCCCGACCGCGCTCCCGCTCCGGGAGGATGCTCCCGCTGGGAACGGCTCCGTCCGGGACGAGCTCGGGGATCCCACGGGCGCTGCTGCAAGGAGCGGCTGCTATTTGGAAAGCTCTCCGCCTCCACTGTCTGGTTTCCTTCGGGATACCGGGAAACCCACGTCGGATCCGCGGGGAAAACAGGGTCTGAGGCGGCTCCCAGCGAAAAAAAAAAACAAAACCAAAAAAAATTATGAAAACGAAAAGCGAACGAAAATTGCGATTGGCATTTTCTTTCGATTTTCGTTTCGTTTTGTAGGAATTTTTTTTCCCATTTTTCTCTCGGAGCCGCGGGGCAGCCCCTGGCCCGGGATGGGGATTCCTCGGAAGCCAGACCGTGTCCGAGCCGCGGCCCCTGCGCAGCGCACGGGAGTCCCGGCGGAGCGGCCACAGCCGGCCCGCACCCGCACCGAAAACGCGGCCAGTCCCCGCGGCCGAGGATGCAATCTTTTTTAACAGAAAGCAGAGGGAGAGTAAGGGGAGTTACCGGCCCTGCACAACCCCTTCTCCCTTTCTGACAGCGCTGCCATTGGAAAACGCGCGGCGCTTGGAAAATGCCGCGCAAGCCTGAGCCCATCCCGCTGCCCCGCAGCCGCTGGGCTGCCGGTTCACGGGTACTTGAGTTCCCAAGCTCGGACCCGGGAAGAGCAGTTCAGAGGCAGGTCGGCTACTCTGTCCTGCCCTGCCCGCCGGGCCTGGATCAGGGAGAACCGGAGCTTGGCGGGGAGGCAATTGGCGGCTCAACTCTGGAGCCCCTCACGCACCCTCGGGCTGTTTGCGAGCCGCGATGCTCCGGGCAGGGTGTCGGACAATCGTTGGGACTCCATCCAAATCCCCAAGCAGCTTCCCGGTGTCCCGCAAACCACGGCGCCGGTATGCGCTCCGACGGGCCGGGCGGATGGATGGGATATACGGCTGGATGGATGGAGGGCGGCTCAGCCGCCCAGTGTGCCTCGTCCCGTCCAGCCAAGCCCCGTTCTCAGACTACCTCGGCAAGGAACGGGCGAGGGGGCTGCGCCCGAGAGTCCGATCCCGCCCGCCTCGACTCCCCGCGATGTTCTCCAGTTCCCGAGGGCGCGGGAGCCGCGGCACAGGACACGACGAGCGCGGCGCGGCGGCGAAGGGCACATAGCCCCTTTCCCGGGACGCGGCTGGGGGAAAACAAGCGGTTTTGCAGCCGACCGGTGCCGGCCCCGCCGAGGGCTCTCTGCACGCCTGGGAAGGCGACTCGGGGAGCGGGAGGAACCGGTCCAGGCACCGGCCGGCGGCTCCTCCGGCCGCTTCCCCACGGGAGCCCCCTCGGGACCGGGACCGTCACCGGCGGCCGCGGCTCCCCCGGCCCCTCGCCCAGGGGGGAGATGGAAAGGGGGGATGACCCCGCACTTACTGTCCTGCTGCGGGGTGTCGCTGCCGCTGGTCAGCCCGGGGGACTCCAACAAGCTCCGGCCGGGCTCGCCGCCGCCCTCCTCCGCCTGGGCGGCCACCATGTCGCCCGCCTCCTCCAGGTCCAGCAGGTGACTCACGGAGAAGTTCTTCTTGGCTTGTAAATTGTCCAGGCCGGCGGGGCCGTCGAGGCGGGCGGGCAGCAGGGCCTGCCTCTCCATGGCGTGGGCATAGCTGGACGCCATGGTGCCGAGAGGGGCTTTTCTGCCCTCGCCCCCCGCGGGCGCCCACCGCCCCCGCGCCCCCCCAGCCGCCGGCCCTCCGAGGGGGATGCGCACGGACCGGAGCGGGGGGAACGGGACGGGACCCGACGGCGGCGGGTAGGGAAGCCCGAAGGGGAGCGGGCAGGGCCGGGCTTAAAACATGCCGGAGGGGAGAGGCGGCGGCCGGCTCGGGGCGCCGGGGCGGCGGCGCAGGGAGCTGCCGCCGGCCGGGAGGCGCAGGGTGGCTGTGGGGCCGCTGGGGCGGGTGCGCCCCGTCCCTCCGCCCCCGCTGCCGGCGGCTCCGCTCCCTCCGCCCCTGCGCTGCCCTCCCCTCCCCTCCGCCCCGCACTTCAAACGGCGGGGGCGGCTCCGCTCCGGGCACCCGCGGGGCCCCGCCGGGACGTGGCACCGGGACGGGGGTGGCAGCGCCGGCCCCGCCGCGCTCGGCAGCTCCTCGTGGGGGGCGGCTGGGGGAGCCCCCCGGGTAGGGGCGAGGAGGGCGCTCAGGGGGTGTGAGGGCTCTCCCCCTTGTCAGCCGGAGCCGCACCTGGAGGGGAGGGTGGACGCGCCCCTGGGGAGGCTCCCGGGACTGGGGAGAGGAGCCGGGAGGAGGGAAATAGCGAAAATGAGAAATGCAGATGAAAAGGTGACCAAGGGTAACTGGAAGAGAAAGTGTGAACAGGAGAGAGGAGAGGAAAGGAAGAGGAAAAAATAGCAGTAGAGGAAGAAAAAGTGCGACAGAGAGCTAAGAGAAACAGACTAAAACGGTTTAAAAAAAAAAAAAAAAAAAGGGCCAAAAAGAGAAACAGCAAAAAGAAAAAGAGGATTCACTCGGAGCTCCTCAGGCCAGCAAGCAAAGAGGTCCCAGCAGCCTGTCCTAGCCCGGCTGGCCCCCGTGGCCAAGCACAGGTAGAGGTGGTGGGAGGTACCCCCGAACCTCACCGCAGAAGAGCCCCAGGGCAGCAGGGCTGGCAGCAAAGAGGGGCAGGGTCCAGCCGGCCAGGAAAGGCCGCTGCTTCCCGGTGGCTGGAGCCTGGGCTCCGAGCTGCCACAGCCAGCCCAGAATTTCCATCCCCCCTGATCTGGGGAAAGAACATTTGATGCCATCAAAGGGCTCCAGATTGAAAACAGATGTGCTTCCCTGAGCCTCTCCATGCATTTAATTAAGGCACAGGCATGGAGGAGACATTTTCATCATTAGTTTGCTTTCAGGCCCCCCCTCTGGTCCCAGTTTACCCTTTGCAGTCTCCAGGATCCAAATGAGCATGGCAGGACTGCAGGGCTCTGCTGTCCCCAGCCTGGGGGGTGAACAAAGCTGGTGGGCACCATGTGGAAAGGCCAGGAAAAGCACTGGGGCAAGGTTGTGTGAGTGCACACAACTGTGTGGGTCTAAATACACCCAAAATGCTGTGTGTGCATCTGTATAAGCAGCAGTGAGTGCCTTGCTGTATGTGTGCCTTATTGCATACTGGTGTGGCCCTTTTTCTGCATCTGAGGGAGCATTTGTGTGTGATGTCCTGTGATGTGCTGTATCTGTTGGGCTTTGGTGTGCTGGCATCTTGTGCCCTGGCTCTCAGGGACTCCAGCTTTAGGAAAGGCAGGGTGGGTGGTAACCTGTACACACCCCTGTGGGTTGCCCAGAGCACAAAATGCCCCCTTCTGTCTCCCAGATACTCGGCTGCCACCTTCTTGGTCAGATGGCTTTTACCTTCTTTTCCCCTGATCTGCTTCAAATGGATGTTACAACTGACCTGCTGTTTTCAGTGGGTGCTGCAGAGCCCCAGTCACAAACATCCCTTTCCACAGGCAGCAGGGTCTGCTTCTACCCCAGACAACCTTTGCCACGTGGGTGACAGCAGAAGCCACAGAAACCAGAGCAAAAGATCTCTGTGTCACCTTCACCATTATCCTCACCGACATCCCTGATAAGAACTCCCCGTGTCTAAGGGCATCCTTCAGACAACCCTCCCTTCCAGCCTTGGCTTTGGGAATGCAGCCCGGTACCAGCAGACAGTCTGGAATGGTGGTGCTGAGGGTGACCACATCACTGTGTGTGCATCTGCTACAGAGGGAGAGTCTCACCTGCAGGGCAATAAAGGGGCCCAGCTGCAAGACCAGCTACTGTGGCTTCACCCTGAAGCGAGTCCTGGGTGCTGCCCACACATACAGCACTCACAGGCTGAACACCAGCGTGGGATGCCAGAATCACATCCTGAGAGTGACCTAAACACCTCCTTTGCCGGGTGCCTCCTGCAACACCACTGGATTTCTGTGACTGGGTGGGAGGGCCAAGTTGAACCCAAGGGAAACTCTTCCAGCCCTGCCTGTCTCAAGAAGGAAGACTGGAAACAGTGGGAGGCCTTCAAGACCACACAGAACACTACAGGGCTGTTTCATCTTTCAACTTGTTGTGACCAGACAGGCCCTATGCCAAGGCACATCAGCAATGTGGAAATGAGTGTGGCAGGAACCTCCTGGGCTCTGACAGGTGTGGGCAGGTGCATAATTGGGCCATCACTTTTTTCTCACGTGAATTAAGTGGTCCTCAAAGTTCATAAACAAAATATAAAGAGAAGGATGAGGAGACAGAGGGGATGAGGTGAGTAAGTCAAGGGGTCCCAGGGCCCTACAGAGCTGCACATCTCAGTCTGCCACTAAAACACAAGTAGGACCATCTTAACAGGACAAGCATAGATGATCCCTTCATTAGCAATTTCCTTTAGCTTGCTTCAAGTTGTAGAAAACTTCAGGCCAAAGTACAGGCCTGATATTATCACCTTACCTGAATGCTCAAGGGTACTGCCTTCTAGTGTTCAGTTTCTCCCCCTCCATCAGCAAAGGCAGATGAGGATGGGACACTTGTCACCTGTCTCAAATGCATCAGTTTCTCCCTGTACAGCAGCCAGGCCATGTGCTCCCTCTGGGGCCTCCAGGAGTCCCTGCAGAACGAATAAAGCAGGAATGAGCCACACTGTGGTCTGCTGTAACCCAAGGATATCAACACTTCTGTTTTTCAGATGGGGAAACTGGTGCAAAGGCAACTTGTCCCCAGCATCAAACTCAAAGCAGAGGTCATGGGATAGCCCAGTTCTCATGACCCTGAGGCTGGCAGGGACTCCCATGCCACAGATGGCCCATGACAGCAAAGGCACACACCATTTCAACATCCCACAGGCCCTCAAGTAGTTGGTCAGACATTTCTCACCTCTCTACTGGTCTGGTGTCAAGGCAGCTCCCCTTCCCCACCATCCTCCCAATCCCACCTTTCCTCTCCAATGTGCACCTGTCTGGCAGCTGCTTCCAGCCCCATTCCTCCCCTTCCCAGCTGTCCAACAAATGGTTGCCTCCCACTCACACTCCCAGCAAGGCAGGAACCTCTTCTGCCAGGGGAGAACAGGAGAAAGCCCAAGGGTCCTGAAACACCCAGAAATCTGCCAGGTAAAGCATCCACGGCTGAAAGGCCAAGCCTCACGTCACAGACAGCAGCCAGACCCCAGTTTGGCCCTTGCTGCTCCCAGAAATAGTTAATATTTTGAAGGATATCAGTGAGACTCACCAGCTGGAGCCCTGCCTCAAAACCCATCCCCTGGGCTCTGACCGTGTCTGACACTCAGAGAAGGTGAGGCAGAAACCACAAACTCTCCCTAATTGCATATCAAGAAGGGGAAAACCAAAGAACTGCACCTCTGCTGATGACCAGTAAGTTTTGCTTTTTCTCACAGAAAATTACAAGCTCAGCCTGCAGAGTCAGTGAGAAAGTCCCTAACTTGGCTATTTTCTTTGCTTCTTAAAATTTCCCAAGAAACCCAGCACTGGCAGCTTCTGTGGTTCCCAGCTCCAATATATGGGCTGCCCCACTATGTCATAAGCCCTGAGAAACATTCCCCTCATCTTCACAGGGTCCCCGAACCTTATAGTACCACAGTCTTGGTGACAGTTTTCAGGTGCAACAAACAGGACCTGACAACCTTCCCAGGGTCCTTGTAGCCAACAAGAAGCACTCGGGGCAGATGACCAGCAGGAACATCCTCAGGGCAGCTCACACTCCGTGTGGTTGGCATTAGTGGGATCAGGAAGGCACCAAGCACTAAGCCAAGCCTTCACCTGCTCTGCTCCTGCATTCAACTCTCCTGCACTGACCACCATGTCGTGTGCCTTTCCCAGCACAATTACCTTCTTCTTTCAGCTGCCCTAAATATCTTCTCTTCCACGGGAGTTTAAATAAAAGAAACCAGGCAGAAGAACCTGTGACACCCAGGTGTGGGTCCTCAGCTGTTGAATCGTATCATGGCACTTGGGTGAATCATTTTGCTCAGTGAGGAAAATTACTTTGGGCCTCTCTCATCCCTACCTTATTTTCATGAAACCTGTCAGCATGTAAAGTCTTAGAGCCTTTTTTCTGATCTGTCAAATTTGTTTCACCCTAGCAATTTAAAAGAAATAAATGCAGAAGGGCAGTAAGGAACAGGAGCTGACAGCCAGAACCCCTGCACAAGCTTGAGCCTTTAGGAAACCTGACCAAAATGCACATATCATTTATTCCTGCTCCATGCCAGGTGCTCAGGTGTTCTATGACACGCTGGGCACCCTCCAACACTGCTCTTTTGAGGCCCTGGATAGGTGTGAGCAGTTTAGATGGGTGATTCAGAGGGCAGGAGGGCACAAATGATGCTTACTCCTCTCCCAGGCTCAGAGGAGCACCTACTTTAGAGGGCCAGTGCTCCAATACAGACCTTCATTGCTTTGCACCCCAAAACATCTGCCACAGCTCCTCAGGGGAAAGCTGAGGAGAGGCATTGATTCAGAGCATCTCTCTGGCTCTGGCTCGTCTTAGGATTCATCCACATTGTCCTGTCCAGTGATATCCCCACTGCTGGACTCTGTTGCTGATGCCCAAGTGCTGGGGAGCCAAATCAGAATTCTTATATCCTGAAAAGTTCTGCTCCAGTTTTTTTATCATGCTGGTTCCCTTAATGTCTGGTTTCAAGCCCTTCTGCACTTGCTCCAGCCAGGGCTGGATAAGAACTCCACGGAGCTGGAGACAGAGAGCACCTGCAGGAACATGTGTGTGTATGAACGTGGATGAACTTACACAGGTGGGTGCACCCAAATTTGGGTCTGGAGCCAAACCTTCCCCCACAAACTCCTGCTACACACTTGGCCCAAATCTCTCTCTCTTCTTTCTTCCCCACTAGAGGTGCATTACTACATCTGTGGGGATCAGGTAGTCCACAGTCATTGCAGGCTGT